ATGTCCATGGGACACAAAGTGTCCCTGGGGACATTTGGGGACACAGAGCCCTTGAGAACATCGTGGGCATGGTGTCCATGGGGCACAAGGTGTCCCTGGGGACACATGGGGACATGGAGCCCTTGGGGACATCAGGGATGTGGTGTCCATGGGGGACATTTGAGGACGCGGAGTCCTTGGGGACACTGGGGCTGTGGTGTCCTTGGGGACATTGGGGATGCAGTGTCCATAGGGACGTGGTGTCCTTGGGGGCACAATGGGGACGCGGAGCCCTTGGGGACATCAGGGGCATGGCGTCCATGGGGACACGGAGCCCCTGGGGACATCGGGGACACGGTGTCTATGGGGATGTGGTGTCCATGGGGCACAAGGTGTCCATGGGGGACATCTGGGGACATGGAGCCCCTGGGGACATCAGGGGCACAGCGTCCATGGGGACATGGAGCCTCTGGGGACACTGGGGCTGTGGTGTCCATGGGGGACATTTGGGGACGTGGAGCTCTTGGGGACATTGTGAGCATGGTGTCCATGGGGGCTGTGGTGTCCATGGGGGACATCTGGGGACGCGGAGCCCTTGGGGACATCGGGGACACGGTGTCTATGGGGATGTGGTGTCCATGGAGCACAAGGTGTCCATGGGGGACACATGGGGACATGGAGCCCCTGGGGACCCTGGGGACGTGGTGTCCATGGGGACACGTGGGGACGCAGAGCCCTTGGGGACATCAGGGGCATGGCGTCCATGGGGACCTGGAGCCCCTGGGGACACTGGGGCTGTGGTGTCCATAGGGCACAAGGTGTCCATGGGGACACATGGGGACATGGAGCCCCTGAGGACATTGGGGATGTGGTGTCCATGGGGACGTGGTCCATGGGGGACATCTGGGGACGCGGAGCCCTTGGGGACATTGGGGACGTGGTGTCCATGGGGCACAATGGGGACACAGAGCCCTTGGGGACATCGTGGGCATGGTGTCCATGGGGGCTGTGGTGTCCATGGGGACCCTGGGGACGCGGCACCTTGAGCCACTGCTTCTCGGTGAGCGAGTCGCTGTAGTCGACCTCCTTGCGGTGCCGGGAGCCGCGGCCGAACATCTTCTCCTCCTCCTCCTCGCAGGTGAGCCGCTCCACCTCGGCGTCGTCCTTGATGATCCACGATGGCAGCTCGTCCTCCTCCATCAGCCGCGGCTTCCGCTTCGGGTTCCGCGCCTCCTCGCGGCGCCGGTCCAGATCCATGCGCTGCGGGGGGACGGAGGGTTGGGGGCATC